TTTGCAGACTAGAGCACTTCCCTGATTAGCCCAGCTTAAAACCTTAAAGCTCGGGCATCCCTCAAAAGCCGCTTCTCCCGATGTCGGGATCAAAGAGAAAGTCGTTTAAACTTCACCTATGATTTTTCCCCACCTCGGAAGGTAACTTAGGTTCCTCCATATCGCGTTCACCCAAGCCAAGCCACCATCTGAAAATGGGCCCTCGGGTTGGGCATTGATTGCCACCTGCAGTGAGCGGGGGGGGGGGAAAGCAGGGACCGCCTTGCCTGAAGCCCCTGTGCATCCTTTCTGGAGCTGCCGACGCCGTCTGCTCCAGTTCCCCGCTCTGCTTACAATGGGTGCTAGCTAGGCAGGCTCGCTTCCTCCTCTTCTGCCGCCGCCGCCAGGAGCAGTAACTCCAGCCTTGCTGCCTCACAAGCCCGTTTGGCCTGATAGGATGCAATGTGAATCTGGAACTAGGTAAGGGAGGCTCGCACAGAGAAAGCCTCCAGCAGCTCGCTGCCTAATGCGCTCTAGGAGATAGAGTCCAGATCGAGTTGTTGGCCATGGGCAGCTGTATGTCAAGGACTACCTTTCCCAAAAAGCCCTGCGCGCCTCCACTTTCTCTGCCAGTTCTTTTTCCTCTCCCCCCATCCACCAGCTCGAGTACGTTCGCGTTCCCTGAACCAAAAAAGCCGCGCTCAATATATTCAGCCGGGCGGGAGGTCTGCAGATCAGCGACGGGACTGCGAGGCTGGCCATTCCCTTCTTTTCTGTACTTTTGGTGATTTGCAGTGCGGCGAATCGGAAGGGCTGACTTTGAGGAGGTCGAATGGTAATACAAGTCCCTTTTCTGAATTTAAGCCTCGCTGGAGTCCTCGGTGCTTGTTTTTCAGTGAACGTAAATACGACTCAAGTATGAGTGATTTTATACATGTGCTTGAAAAGTTTCAATTTGGAATTTATTTTGTCAAACTCCTTACTGGGACCTAGAGCAGGAAATATTATCTTTCTAATTTAGTTTCCAGAATCTGGCATCTGCTTTTCTGATTTAATTGCATAGTGGCTCTTTCTGTGCACGTTGTTGACTGAGTCCTAGGCCCACTCCACTTGGGGCTTTATAAATAAGAGCCCTTGATCCTTTTTACCTGTCACTAATGTTCGGCTCTCATCTTCAAAATGTCTTGATTAGCATGATGTCCTTGCTGTGATTATAGCATGGATATATGAATTTTCAGAGGTAACCAATCAACTGTGCGTAAACTTCCTCTTCATGGTCTGGATCAGGGAAAAATGGAGTTTTCCTTTGGGGAACATTATGGTGGCTAAATGAATGAAAACGGAGAAATATCTTCCACTCAACTTTGCATAAAAAGTTAAATAATCTTATGCTTGTAATATTGATGTCCTAAATGGCAAGTACACTGATAGAATGTTTTATTTTCAACACTTTTTTAAAAATGTTAATAATTTTAATCATATTGTTAAACATTACTTCACTGAAATCTGCATTGAAATAATATATTGTATCAATAATTATAATAAAAGGGGGAGGAGCAAAAAATTACCATCCCATACCTTCAGTGAGAAGGGTTCCCCTGCAGTGGCTAAAGAGCCTGGGGTATTATGATTTGATTCATCCAGCATCCAAACAAACCAACAAATCTTATCTTGGTTTTGTGGTTGTTAAACCATGATTTACTGTGGAAGCTGCTGTTATGGTTTATTCAGCTAATAGAGTTCATCAGGTGCCTGGTTCGGCATAAAGGGGAGCCCTTTGCAAGCAGCAGTGATATAGTATTACTAATGGATTTTTATTTTTTAAGCATAGTGATAAAATCCTTTCTGGTCTGAAGGCTTGTTTTAAAGGGCTTTCTTTTTTTTGACTTTGTTCTCTTCCAAAAGAAGCTTGTGGTGCATGGTTTACACTTGGCAACTTTTTCATCAGTAAATCTTGGCTTAGGTTGAGACTCTTTTGACTATTTTAAAAGTAATTCCAGTCACCTTTGTAGTTTTCCTAGAAACATCCAGAGAAATGGTTTTTTTTCTAATTACAACCTGTGTCATTTGGGGGTGCCATGTCTACCAGATACAGAGCTGCAGATACCCAGAATTGGTCCTGCAACCTTCCATTGTCTCCCACGGACTCAGATCCACTTAAAAAATATTCCTCTACTCTGCTTTTTTCCAAGTACAAACAAATGCTCAAAGAAATCAGCTTGGACTTTGGAAGGAGGTGGCATCACTATGTTGATGGCATTTTGCTTGCCTTGTGTTTGGCCCAGAATCAGTGTCTGAGATCAGTAAGGGGTTGGGAGGGAGCCAGTCAACTAGCTGAGCTGATTGTGCAGTCAAATGGTGTCAGTCTGCTTTCCTTTCCTCCTGAATGAATCTTCTTCACCTGGATGCCCTCTTGATGTGTGGATTAGAATTTGCTTCAACTGATGCTATCAACTGGTGATCTGGAGATACAGATCTTTGATACAGTTTTGGTAACTTCTGCAATGTGCTGCCTATGACTTCTGGTTTGTGGTTTGGTGATCTCTGTGTTTTCTTGCAGTTGTTTCATTATCAAACTAGGTGTCAGAATCCAATTATATTTAATCTCTAGTTATCAACTATAGAAAACCCCATTTCTGCCTTCTCTGGATTCTGTCATATGATGAAGGGAAGGGGGTGAACAAAGGGGCTTTATGGCCCTCACTTCCTTCAGTACACTTCAAAGGGACTGGATGTGGATATCACCAAAAGGACTAACCATAACAATGGGGCTATTACCTTTCATGTACTCCCCTCTGAATGGGGCACCTTTCATGTACTCCCCTCTGAAGTCTCCATCCAGCCGGCAGTAAGGAAAATGGGGTGGGAGTGTAATGCCTGAGACTGTCACTGGAAGAAGGGGGTGATTGGGTGGGGCTACTGGGGAACACCTTAAAACCTTGAACGGGAGAGCTTGGACCCCAAGTCTTGTCTAGAACGCCTGCAACCATTTTCTCTTAATAAAGGATGCCTGTTGGAAGAACTATTCCAAGAATTCTGTCTTCTTAAGATGCAAAGTGGGGTGGGTCCTTACACTAGGTAACATCAAACTAGGAAATACCGTATTTTCTGGCCTATAAGACGGCCCCCAACTTTTGAGAAGATTTTCAGGGTTTAGAATCCTAAACCCTGAAAATCTTCTCAAAAGTTGGGGGTCATCTTATACGCCGGAAAATACAGCATTCCATTTCTAGTTTAAGTTTCTGTTACTACTAAACCTGTTTTATGACTTTATCAATTTACAATTTCCATAATCAAATATTGTTTTACTTCAACAGATTATCACTTCAATTATCTCTTCCAGATATGTTCAAGTTCTTAATCTCTCACATCCCTCTTTTAATCACCAGTCTCATTTATATCTTCTTCCAATAATAACTAACTTAGTTTAAAAAAAGAAACAATGTTAAACCTTACTTCATTTCAATTCATTACACAAACTTCAAATCACATCCAAATAATTATCATACCTTATCAGATCATATCATTATACACAAAAATCACCTAATTAATTTAAGCACTTCAAAGTTCCAGTCTAAAAACTCAACATTTTTTCAATTCCAGTACATATATATATATGTCTATATATTGGGCAGATTCTGCCTACACTTCCCGAGATTGGGTGGTGCATCTTGGGCTCCCAAATCATGATGAATACTCAGTTATGTGGCCACCTAAATATGGACTTGTGTTTTCTCATGGTCTCAGATCTCTGGCTAAAAATTTGAATTGCATGAGCCTGGTTTCTTCCCCAGGATAGTTGAGTTGATTTTCCACCAAAGGAGTAAGACTCCTCCCATGGAGTTGGTGATTGCTGGCTGTGAAGTTCTGGGAGTTGAAGTCCACATGTCATAAAATTGTCAAGGTTGAGAAACACTGGGTTTGTAAATAGAACAACACAGAGAATGGTAAATCATAGGAAACTTTAATGAACTGTTTTGACTGAACTATGCCATGTGTCATGTTTTGTATTATTGAAGCTATTGTTACATATTTTCACTAGCAAACCATTCAAGACAATGGATCCGAAGAACATCAGGAAAAGGAAATATAGTGAGGATTTCCTACAATATGGTTTCACATCTATATATACAGCGGGAATCGAGAAACTGCAGTGTGTACTTTGTTCCGAAGTTTTAGCAGCAGAATCGATGAAGCCTAACAAACTTAAACAACATTTTGAAAGCAAGCATCCAAGCTATGCTGGCAAGGACACAAACTATTTCAGAACAAAAGCTGAAGAAAGGCAGACTTGACACTGGTGGCAAGTACCACAGACAAAATATAGCGGCCGTTGAAGGGTCATATTTGGTGGCACTCAGAATCGCCAGAGTCATGAAGCCTCATACTATTGCAGAGGAGTTACTGTTGCCAGCGGCCAAAAACCTTGTTCAAGTTATGCTCGGAGACGAATTTGTGACAAAATTTAATGCAGTTTCCTTGTCTAATGACACTATCCGCAGAAGAATAGATGATATGTCTGCTGATATTCTTGATCAGGTAATCCAAGAAATTAAATCTGCTCCACTTCCAATATTTAGTATCCAGCTTGATGAATCTACAGACGTTGCAAACTGTTCCCAGTTACTGGTTTTCGTGAGGTATATTTACGATGGTGCCTTTAAAGACGAGTTTCTGTTTTGCAAACCTCTTGAAACAACAACTACTGCACGTGATGTATTTGACAAAGCTGGTTCATTTCTGAAAGAGCATAACATATCTTGGGAAAAGGTTTGTGGTGTTTGCATAGATGGTGCTCCAGCTATGCTAGGATGTAGATCTGGATTTCTACGTTTTGTTTTGTAATTAAAAATAAATATTTAACATTATATAATTACATATTGTTTTTGTGATTAATCACTATGCTTTAATTATGTTCAATGCAAATATATCCTGCATATCACATATTTACATTGCGATTCAGAACAGTAGCAAAGTTACAGTTATGAAATAGAACTAAAATAATTTTATGGTTGGGGGTCACAACATGGAGGCCACGCCCACTTGGTGGCCACACCCACTTGGCCATGCCCCTGGGGTCACCACAACATGGGGAACTGTATTATGGGGTCACGGCATTAGAAAGGTTGAGAACCACTGGTCTAAAGCAATCATACATCATTCCTGCTGTGACAAATCTTATCTGTACAAAAATAAGTCAACAATTGATAGCTGCTCTTAGTATCTCATTGCAACAAGGTTCCTATCAATCATTCTAATACAGCTATCTGTGGCAGGATTTTTCCTAGGTAACACATCTTAAAAAACTCAACGTTGATTATAGCAAATGTCAGGATATACCACTATGCGATCCGTTATCTGTAAATGGTATCAAATCAAATATTTCACTCTATCCTTCTCCTCTCCTGTAAAGATTCATAATTGCTGTTTTAGAATAAACCAATATGTGAATACAGAATTGTGAGAAATGCATATATATTGGTAAATGTACGTCTGCTTAGCCAAATAATAATAGTCCATAGCCCTTGAAATTTTTGCAAAATAATTTTCTTGTAATAGAAACTTCCTAGAAATAGAACTAAAACACTAGCAGGTTTGTTTTTTTAAAATCTTACAGGCTAATTAAATGTAGATTTAAATATATTATATTATAAATGAATTATAGTTCTAGTTAATAAATACTGCAAAATAAAGTCACAATGAAGAGCATAGCCATGAGACCATATCAGAATTCATCTGCAAATCAAATACATTCAAAATATGTTTTCTGAATAAGGAACCACTCACTGTTCTATTCATACTCAGCATACTTGGCTTTTGTTCCTTTATAAATGCTTCTTTGAAGTGTTCAACTGCGGAGCTACTTTTATTTTGTTTGTTTTCTTCATTTTTCAAAGAAAAGTTATTTTCAGTATGTCTTAGAGCTGATGATAAAACTTGTTGGAAAAATTCTGTTTCTTTTATTAAAGTCAGTCCAAGCTGTTCAGCAAGTAGATTCTTATTTCCTAACTTCAGTAATTTTATCTTGCAAGTTGGTGGTAGCAATCCAATGAAGGCATGAAGGCATTGGAACAAGGCAACTTGATGTCTGTGAAATAGATGAGCGAGTCAGTTGACACTGTGTATTCAGTGAACTAATGGAAAGATTTACATGGAAAAAAAAATTCTTCATGGCAAAGAAACACGATTCTACTTTGGCTGAAAAAATAAATTTTATCTTTGGAATAAATGCCAAGTATAAAAACAATGTTGAAAAGGCCTCAGTAATTGTTATGCTGATTACTAACACCTGTCCTATATATTCAAAAACTTGCAAAATTCAGAGCAGCATTATGTACCATGTTCTCATAACTGGTTCTGGTTGTTCTCTAAGATTCATTTGTCATTTACTTATCTGTTTCTTAGCAGCACTATGACAGTGAAGAGATTACTTATCTTCCATAACATTACATAATAAAAAATTAAAGGTTGATTATTAATGTTAATTTTGAAAAAAAATTAAAGTTTTCTTTTCAAATTCCTATTAACTTCTCTTATCAGATACTGCCTTAAGCCAGTAGTTAATTTTTTTTATGGCACCTTATGTGAACTATTTAATTTTTTTAAAGAAACAAATGAATCACTTGCTTATTTAGCAGATACCAGAGGGACAAAAAATGGTCTTTTAGGGGTCTTCTGTCAGCAACATATACAATTATTACCTCTACAAAATAATTCAGCACAGTTGTAATACTCCCTAAGAAACTAACAGTCTTTATAAGCCTTTCAATGGCTACTACCTGCAGAATATTGTTAAAAATCCTTCAGAAGGTGTTTTTAGATTCCACTTGAAAAGAGTGCCATTCAGATTTCCAGATTTCCAGCAAACCATATAATCAGGATATTTCTTGATTGGTACGCACTCCATTTGTTCCAATAGCCACTTGTTTACTGGAAGCAATGTACAATCAGGGGAGATTATTTGGAAAGAGGATTTGTGTGATATTGCACAGAGTGCCAAAAGATCTTCTGTAGAACCTGCAACACCAAAAGAAAAAAACAGTAACAAAGCTAAGCAGTACAATACATTTAAAATTGATATCTACTTAATTTTGTTTCTAAAATATATTTTTATTCTGTTTAGATACCATTTCAAACATGACAAACTTTAACTGGCATACAAAAATGCACAATAATATATAATACGTACTCTTAATACTACAATGAAAGCATCTAATAAAATAGCAAGTGCATGCTATTGCATTTTTTTGGGTTTAGGAAAGTCTCATATTTTTGATACTTAGAATGTTGGGGTTGTAACTGAAGAAATTATAGGGTTGCTTCAGAATTATGAAGTTAATTTGCAATAAACAAGCAAATTCTAAACTTTCTTCCAGAAGCCTATAAAAACTGGATACAAGTGGTCCTCAACTTACAACAAGACCATTCAAAGATACAATAGCACTGAAAAAAGTGACTTTATGACCATTTCCCACACTTATGACCATTGCAGCATCCCCATGGTCACATAATCAAAATTCAGATGCTTGGCAACTCACTCATATTTATGACAATTCCAGAGTGTCAGGGTCATGTGGTACCTTTTGCCACCTTCTGACAAGCAAAGTTGATGGGGAAGCCAGAATCACTTAACAACAAAGTTATTAACAACTGCAATAATTCACTGAACAATGGTGGCAAGAAGGGTCATAAAATGGGGCAAAACTCACTTAACTGTCTCACTTAGCAATAGAAATTTTGGGCAACAGAAATTTTGGGCTCAAAATTTTGGTAAGTCAAGGACTACCTATAAAGGGAGATTGAAGAAGGGTTGAGACATGGTTTTAAGACAGTAATCAATAGAAAAGTGCTGTCTTATTTATATTACATAAAATGTTATTCTAAATAATTTATTTTTTTAAAAAGGTTCTTTTGAAACAAAAATATTGAATTTGATCACAATTGTAACATACAGACAATACTGTACACAGTATAAAAACACGAAGTTTTATTTTGAAAAAATATAGTCTCATTCTTTAATTCATAGGGATATATATATATATATATATATATATATATATATATATATAGTGAGAAATAAAATGATCACCAGGGTAATAAAAACTATAACATTTATTAAAAAGCGCCTAGCTTTCGCCGTCACCTGCCGGCATCCTCAGGGCTAGTGCGCCAGGGAGTGAGAGAGTCACTTTTATAGGTGCAAACAGGTCTGCGCACGACTCCTCGACCTCGTCATCGGGCCTGAGTAGAGTGACTGCGCACGGCTGGTCTGTTCTTTTCTATTCATTTCAACTGCACATTCATCCTCCTCCATCCTTCTTTCCCTCAATCTTAAGGTGGATGGGCAAATGTCTCTGTAATTGCAATAGTCTCTATGTTTTAACTCTTCTCCGCTGGGGGCAGGTGGCAATACACATTTCATGCTTATTTTGCGATCCTCCTTCGTCCCATTGTTCTTCCTATGGCAAGTTTTTCTTTTAGTTTTGATGTTTTTACTTCTTATATGGATGTCGTCTGGGTGGTCCTGTGGGTCCTTTCGGGGTAGTTGTAATTCACCGCTGGTCTGGAGCTGGAGGGGAAGCCGTTCGATCACGGAGGGGGGGGGCGATTCCTCAATCACCCCTGTATCCGGCTGCTTTACGCGCGCCGCACCATAATCAGGCAGTCCGGGGGGGGGCAGTGACGGAACCATGTCCTCGCTCTATAGGTGCAGACCTGTTTGCACCTATAAAAGTGACTCTCTCACTCCCTGGCGCACTATCCCTGAGGATGCCGGCAGGTGACGGCGAAAGCTAGGCGCTTTTTAATAAATTTTATAGTTTTTATTACCCTGGTGATCATTTTATTTCTCACCATGAATATTCCCAGGGTTCACGTTTTTAATTTTCTTAACGCATATATATATATATATATATATATATATATATATATATATATATATATATATATTATAGTAAATATATATATTTACCTGGATATTTATAATCTTTCAAATTTATTGAAAGTTTTCCAGTAGAAATCTCTACCAGACTTAGTAAAAAATCTCCACATAGTAAAGTCAATCTTTTGCTTTTCTGCCAGTTTTCACTGTTACCACTCTTCTTTGCATGAAGCAGTACCACACAAGTTATTTCATGCCATGCCAAGAAAGGGGACAGATGGGTAACTGCTGTAATGGCTTTTGCCTTATTCCTCTTCACTTCAGAGTCTTTTCCATTGCACTTGCTTTCTTCATTAAGGCAACTTAACTTGATTCTTTTAGGCAATGGTTCCAAGTGCCAATATGATAGAGGCTCAGCCTCTGAAGCTTTTGTCACTGTAACTACTTTACAGTGGCATTTTGATGGAGAAAGTGAATGGCGCTTCTGGCCAATTATCAGAGATAAACTACCATCACTGAGTTGCCTGCTTCAAAACAAAAGAACACAATGTAAACAAATATATTTATAGCTTCAGCATTTGTAGTATACTATGCTCTTGTGTACAGGTAGTTCTTGACTTACAACCATTTGTTTAGTGACTTTCAAAGTTCAAGTGCAAATGAAAAAAGTGACTTATGATTGTTTTTCAATTTACGATTGTTGAGGCATCCCCCAAGGTCACATGTTCAAAATTTGGACACTTCACAACTGGCATATAACTCAACAACTGTCTTGCTTAGTAACATAAATTTTGGACTCAGCTGTGGTTGTAAATAGAAGACTACCTGTATTTGATATTTATATTTCACAACTGTTTTGTGTCAACTTTTATTAAATACATTGTAATCAAATATATCTTCAATTTTTACTCATAAGATGTATCTTATAACATTTTGTCTTGAAATACTTTTACATATTTATATATCTAGACTTTTTTATTTTGGAATTCAGGCTTCAATCATATAAATGCCACCAATGATATATGTTCAATTTTGGAATTCAGATTTTGATTATATAAATGCTGCCAATGATTCAATGTGATTGTATAGAATTTAAACTACTCACAAGTCAAATGTTTCCATGATTTCTACTCCAACTATTAACTGGTTATCCACCACACGATACCAAATGTTTTTTACAATTTGTTTTTCATCTTCAGTTGGAGTCAATGAACCATTATGAAATTCCTCCTCTCTTTCATCCCAAAGAGAAATAAGATTTTCCTTAGATGGAAAGATGATTTTTTAAAAAAATATAAAGCCAAGTAACTTTTTGTCTAATGAGAATTTATTATTGTTACAATTGTGGGACTCACAATGCATTTTAACTAATATATAAACTTGAGGATCAACTAAAATTACCACAATTACATACACATTTACAGTAGATACATGCAATTTTAAATCATCCTTATCAAGTATTTATACCCATTCTGATTTTTTCCCTCAATTTCAAATTGAGTAAACTGCACTATACAAGTGCCCTGGTGATACGATTCCATATAAACTATTGAAAAGTTATCATTATCCTGAATATTATAAATATGTGCTATTGGCAGGCACAATATTTCAGTGATCTCTGAACATTATAGCAACCATTTTTCAACCAGCATTCTGTTAAAAATTAGTTAAACATTACTTGTTTAACTGGACCCATTATTATTTTTGCTTTTGTTACTAGAAACAGCAAGTTCTATACCTATGTAATATGGAAAAAAATTACACACCATTTTTAACATTGCTGCAAAATACCTTTTTGATCCTAGGAATTCTTTGTTTCCTATCTTGAACAAGATCTAATAATGCATGACAGCTTTCAATCAGAACTTTTTCTTTGAGGCGTAAATGTTGTTGAATGGTTCGAACAGATGCAAAACCAGCCTATATAAGAGAACAGAGGGTTTGTGATAATATTCTTATAAGCATCATGGTAAGTATTTTCGTCCTATTTTTATTCATATAGTTTAAGAATTAGAAATCTGGCTTTTAGACTTCTAGAAATGTATTTCTAAATTCAAGTAAAATAATATATATTTAGTCATGCTTATAGCTGTGAATAGTTGCTAATAGTAGATGGACTGAATATAGTAGATGGACTGAAAACATGTATATAGTATATAGTAGATGGACTGAAAACATGTCAAAATACAAGTTTCATTAAATAAAACAAAATGTATATCCAAGAAAAAGATGCTACACACCAACCTGTAATCGTGCTTCAAGTGCTTTGATAGTAAGAAGGCGATTCTCTTGTATCTCTTCAGCAGAAGACAAGACATTTCCATAGTTTACATTACTCTAAGAAAAAGCAATACTAATTAAACACCAAAGATTTACAGAGCACTCTGTGAAGTGGAGAACATCACAAGAACCCAAACATAAATTTAAGATCTTTCCACAGGGAAACTGAAATTAATCACACCCCTTCTGGTCAGGCAGCAGAAGAGACTGACACTGCTTTGTGTGCACCCCTGTATATTACAGAGGAGGAGACAAAAAAAAATCCCACCCACTCCCACATCATATATACCTTATATATATTTCCTAACTGTTTGAAATATGCTGCATGTAGTTGCAGTCTGATTTTTGATGTAACATGGATTAGGTAGGAGGGGAATCACAATTTTAAAAAATATTCTAAAGATGCCAATTACACCACTAACAATGTATAGTAATTTAAAAGCTTGAAAAGGAGACATACACAGTGGCCAAGTTCAATCAGAATGCTAAATCACACAAAACTAAATATCTTGGACTTATGTGTTACAATCTATATATCTATATCAAATAAACCCAACTTTGTCTTTTAGAAACAAAAATGAAAGCTTACTATGTCATTCAAACCCTAATCGTTAGAATTAGATGAAGTAAACCATGATAGTCTCATGCATAAGTTACAGAATTAACTTTATGCTATTCAATAAGTCATAGTTAAGATTAAACACAGGTTATGCTTATATACTGTACCATAAGGTGCCATAATACGTTTTGTTAGTTTTAACTTAACATGTGTGATTCATTCCACTATAGTTTATATGCGGTTTATTTCACTGTGCTATTACTAAAATATGAGAACCTGAAATAAAACACAAATGGAAGCTTTGAACTACTTGTACTTGTATTGGAGATGGTGACTGAAATCTACAAGCCCAATGCTTAGATGTACTTTGTACTGGAATAATAAACTATGTTAAGCCTTACACAGGAAGGCTTTTGTCTGCTTTGTAACTAATTTAAGTGGTTCAAAGTTTTGATTTGCAAGATATTGACGTGACCAAACTCAGCTATTTAAATCAAAATGTTCAATGAAATCCTGTATTTAATGCTACTATCTGTATTGAAATATGAACTTAATTAAATTAATATTATTAATTAAAAATTAAATTTAAATAAATAAAAACATTAAATATTAAAGCAATAATCTGCATAATTCTTTTTAAAATAAACCTTTCCCAATTATTTGTAGCACATCTTACCTCATAATTAATATTTCCAAAATCTGCTATTTGAAATGCCTTTAGTGTTTCTGAAACAGAGTCACTCTTTAAAAATACTAAGATTTGTTCAGTTCCAATACCAGCAAAATCATCTACCAGAACAGATTTCACATTCTTCCAGCAAGAAGCCACCTAGAACATAAATCAGATTAGTTTAGTCACTTTGTTGAAGAATGAAATAAGATTGATTTGGCATGATCTGTTTTTAACAAACCCATGCTGGCTATTAGTTATAACTTTATTTGCTTCTAGTTGGTCGCAGATCTGTTTTCTGATTATCTTTTCTAGGATCTTCCCAGATATTGATGTTAAACTGATTGATCTGTAGTTTCCTGGGTCTGTTTTTTTCCCCTTTCTTGAAGATGGGAATCACATCAGCCCTTTTCTAATCCTCAGGTAACTATAACTATAAACTATAGTTAATTATAAACTATAGTTAACCATAAACTCAGGTAACTATAAACTATAACAAACCAGGCTGGACATAATTATGTTCAGCCTGGTTTGATATAAAAAGCAAGGATTTAATTAGGACACAGAGCTGATATAAAATAAAAAGGAGCGAATCAATTACATTATGATGTCAAAATTGTATCACTCATTTTAGAAAATAAGCTTCGTTTCTACAAGGACCAAGAAAGCCTTCATATGTCAGAACTCCATAATGCACATCAGGTTCCTATGTAAACAATGGTTGTCCTATATCATAACTGCAGGGAAGTTTTTGTCTGATTGAATGTTCAACACTTATTAAGCAAAATAACAGTACATGCATCTGCATTTCTTTCATGAAACTGGACTGGAATAACTAGACAGATAATATTTTACAAAAACAATGAGACAGAATCCCAAAGATGCTTTTTCACAGGCAATTAGACTTTGTTTTTCTTTGAAGACGTTTTGCTTCTCATCCAAGAAACTTCTTCTGCTCTGACTGAATGGTGAGAAATGCAAGGATTTATACTCCTTGTAGACAGCTGGTCATTTGCATTCTTTTTGAGTTGTTGAGGCCACCTGGAGATTTACCTGTGTCGTCAGGGTCACCTGAGTAGTGCAAATTATCAATTTCAACAGCTGTCTCTCAGAAGGGAAGAATACGACATCAACTATTTTCAATCTACACCATAGTCCTTTCAACAGTTCCAAAAAGGCTCCACATCCATTTGCACTACTTAGGTGACCCTGATGAAACAGATAAGACCTCCAGGTGGTATTAACAACTCTCTAAAAAAATGCAAATGACCAGCTGCCTGAAAGGAATATAAATCCTTCCATTCCCCACCATCCAGCCAGAGCTGAAGAAGTTTCTTGAATGAAAAGTGAAATAAAGAAAAACAAGAAAGTCCAGTTGCCTTGTAAAAAAGCATCTTTGGGATAACTATGACCTGGATGTCTGAGAATATCCATAGATCATGAGACAGATTCTCCACAATTCTAATAAAAAATGTTTTATAACATCAGTTCAATACCTGCAAGTTATGTTTCCATATAGCACATACATCTCCGGAAGCAAATGTCACGATTACTAATTGACGATCTCCATCCACTGCAGCTATTTGTACTGAAAAAGGATTTTCATATGGAAGCTGCAGAAGATGTTTAGGCCAACCATCCTGAAAGAAAATCAATTGGCCTTTGGAAGTAACTGCAATCAGTGACGTCTTATACTTGCTTCTTCTTACTTCAATTTTGCAAACGTATACACAACGCACCACACTGCCATAAGCGTGAGGCAAAAAACTAGCATTCAACAGTACTTTTTGTTTGTCAACTCCATATGCAAAACACTCATATCCCCAGATGGCCAGGTCTGAGCTAGCATTACTTTGCTTATTGTCTCCTGGAAAACCAGCAGCTCTGGTTCCTAAAACAACTGTACCCTCACTCTTAACTTGACCAGCCCATTGGATAGAAGAAAACTGAATAGGGGCACATAAAACAGTTCCAGTTTGGGGAGAAATATGTAACAGATGTCCTTCATAATACCATATTATTGTTGGACCAGCCAATAATTTTACAGGTTCTTGGATTGCATAGTCTAATTTAAACTGCAGAACCAGTTCAAATTTATTATGGATATGAAGCAACAATAGTATATATTTATTTTTTTTCTTTTTCTTCTTTTTCAAAAGAATATAAGGTTGAAGAATTCCAGTTCTGAAGTCAGATGCATTACTGCAGTGAATAATTTCAATATTTTCATCATATATGCAAAATGATCCAGTAGACACCTCATTAAACAATTTAGTGTCATTGTCAAATGTCATTCTTTTCACATGCAATGTAGTAATTGTGGTATCATCACTCTGTGAATTGTTCCCTCTTGATAATTGGAAAAGAAGCAGTATCCCATTATAAGACAACAGTTTCTCTTGCTGATCCATCAACATTTTTTTGTTAACTAGATTCCATTGTATTAAGATTGGTGTTTCTCTGAATTCCACTACAGGATTCTTCTGTTATTTCTGATCCAAAGAACATTTTAAAATCTGAAAATGTAAAGAGCTTTATTAATACTGCAAAAGATTTAGATTATTTTACCTTCAATAAATAACAATCAGTACTCGAGCAGGAGCCACAATATTATGAATTTATACTTTTAAAAATGTAATGTACCAAATTCCAAAAAAACAGCCTAATCCTAAACATATATTTTTAAAACTAGGTACCTTTGACTCCTTTATCAGAATAAGAAAGAGTGAAATCATCAAGGCATATTTTTCACAACAAAATCATTAAAATGTTTCATAGTAAAATCCTTTGCAGCTGTACTTGAGTGAGATTTATTATAATATTCTTCTAAAATAAGAAACAATTCCAGACATAGAAAAGAATTGGCTGAAGTAAGGCAGAACAAATGAAGATATTTACATCAATATAATGTTATTTATAAGAATTACAAAATATAATGAATATACGGAGTTAAGTTCTAAGATGGTGGCGCCTGGATTGGCTGTGGCTCCATTGGCTCTCGAAGGTGAAAGGTTTTTGGAGGGATAGAAGGGATATAGGCAGTGGTGGGATTCAGCCAGTTCGCACCACTTTAGCAGAAGCGGTAGCTAATTTTTTGTTGCCCAGACCAAGAATGGACTTCTGGAAGCAGCATCCAGAAAAATGGTTGTTTCATATTTGAAACCCACTAATGGATATAGGCCACATGATCGGGAAGCTTTTAATGTGTTTGACCGATATGGTGGGACTAAGGTGACATATGACAGATAGTCATTGCTGGTATGGCAAGCTATTTTGGAACTGCTGGTGAGACCATTAAAAGTTGTTTGCGCTGTTTGAAATTGTTCTGCCAAAGCAAGATCTGATTGGTGGCACAGCGACGGATTCTATTGCAAATCAGGGCTGTTTCCAAAGGAGGCAGAGGAGAGGTCCCGGGGCTTATGGAGCAAAGGAACTGGATGAGGCTGTCGGCAGGCCCAGAAGAAGAGAGAGATGCTTTTGGAGGAGTTGGAGGTGGTGGCAGCGTGCTCCAGAGGCGAAAAGGAGTGTCCCTTTAAGGAAAAGGTAGAAGAGACAGGATCAGAAAAAGGAAAGGAGGTGAGGCTATCTGCAGGAATACAAGCTAATTTGAGGGCTAATCCACAAGGAGCTGTATTTCCATCTGTCCTGTTCACCATCATTCACTCTCTAGAGCAGTGGTTCTCAACCTGTGGGTCGGGACCCCATTTGGGGTCGAACGACCATTTCACGGGGGTCACCAAACAAAGCAGTCCACCATTTTTTTTCCCCCTTTTCCTTAGCTGTGCTACTCCCTTTTATTCTATTGGCTTTTGAAAGCCAATAGAATAGACTCTCTTGAATAGAGTCTAATTTTATTGGCTTTCAAAAGCCAGTAGGAATTGTCCAGGCTGTCTCTGCCCTGCTGAGCCCTCCAAAAGTCCCATTCTGCAAACGGTGCTGCACCAGTTGAGTAGTCCTCGACTTACGACCGGTTAGGAGGTCGCGGCATTAAAAAGGTTGAGAATCACTGCTCTAGAGACTAAAATGGACCTTCTGAAACTTGAGCTGGCCATGAACAAGGTGTGTATATTGGAGGTGGTGACGCTTTGAGAACTGTATGCAATGAAATTTCAATTTGATGTATGCCGATTCGTGTACATTCAAAGTGACAATAAAGTTGTTTATTGTTGTTGTTGTTGTTGTTGTTATTATTATTATTATTATTATTATTATTATTATTATTATTATTATTATTATTATTATTATTATTATTATTATTATTTTAAGTCTTTGTTCCCCTAAGACAGGGGTAGGGAACCTTGGCTCTTTTATGACTTGTGGACTTCAACTCCCAGAATTCCTGAGTCAGCATGGCTGGTTCAGGAATTCTGGGTATTTAAGTCCACAAGTCATAAAAGAGCCAAGGTTCCCTACCCCTGCCCTAAGATAATAGCATGCATGTCTACATTATGGCTAAAAATGGGAGCCTTATTTATGGAAAAGAATGTCTGAATAAATATTATAGTAAAACCCAAGATTTCAGTAAAACAGATTATAAACACTATAAGCAATTGAACTAAGATGGGCAGTTAAGCAAGCTGTGGCCAAGTTCAACATGTAACAGAACAAACTTCTATAATATTTGAAGAAGTTAAACCTTTCTGGATAAATAAATGTTGAAAAGTAAGAGTGAAAAATTATCTCTCAAATTATAAAGTGTGCATGAATATCATTGTAGAAGTACAAAAGATTAAGCTATTCAATCAATAACATCCTCACCATGTGGACGGGGTGACATTGCATATGAAATTGTCTGGAATTTTCTTTCAAAAATATTGGTAACCCATTTAAATTTTCTGCCAAAAAGACAGCTAAGGGATAATGTGAGGGCTGTCTTGAATATTATTGAATATTTACAATACCATAATGAGAAACAGGCAGCTCTAATATTTTTGATGCAGAGAAGGTCTTTGACAATTTAAATTGGACTTTTATGTTTAAAGTGCTGGAAGAAATGGACTTTGGAGATAATTTTATTCAAGGAGTTAAAGCTATTTAATACATCACAACAAACAAAAAATTGTTATTAATGGTGATTTAACCAACTCATGTGAAATTCAAAAAGGTATGAGATAAGGATGTCCCTTGTCCCCTTTGCTATTTATTTTGCTCTATTTAAATAGAGATATTAGGCAAGACGAGAAAATAAAGGGCATAAGTATCAAGAAAGAAGTTTATAAACTGAGGGCATTTGCTGCTGATCTAGTTATATTCCTGCAAGTCCCCAAAAATAATATAGAATGTTGGATGATGAAGTTAAATGAATTCGGGTCTTTAGCAGGCTTCAAAATAAACAGAAAGCAACTATGCCAGTGGTGGCGAACCTATGGCACACGTGCCAAAGGCGGCACTTGGAACCCTCTCTGTGGGCACACGTGCCGTTGCCCCAACCTCACCTCCCTCCACGACCCCTTTCTCACCAGCAGCCCCCCTGGAGGAGAGTTGCCCCTGAGCATGGCCCACATGGAGCAGCACAGCCAAGGACATGGCAGCCAGGCAGCGTAGACAAGACTTTGCCCTCATGCCCCAATGCGCACAGTTGATGCTGCGGGGCGTGGGCAGAGGGCGTGGCCATGGCACTGCTGGGCTGCCTGGGCGATCTGTGGTGGGCCCTGGAGGCGGTGAGTGGCCCTGTGGGCAGGTGGGGTGGGAGACGGGGTGGGGGTGGAGCAGGGGTGGGGCAGGGGGTGGAGCAGGGGCAGGGCCAGTTTTTGGGCACTCGGTCTCTAAAACTGATGCTAAGAATATGTCATCTCAGGATAACGATATACTGATTAAAAAGTCAGGTTTTAAGGTTGAGAAAAAGGTGAAATATTTGGGGGTTATGTTGACAAACACAAACATAAAATTGTTTCAAAATAACTATGTGCCTCTTTGGGATGAGATCAAAAAGGACTTACAAAAAAGGGATAAATTGCATCTATCATTACTAGGAAGCATCTCTGTAATCAAGATGAATGATTTACCAAAGATGCTTTTTCTGTTCCAGACATTACCAATACTTGCAACTGATGTCCCATTCAAACAGTGACAAAGGGACATTTCCAAGTTCATATGGCAAGGGAAGAAATCAAGAACTAGGTATAAGTTATTGCAAGATGCTAAAGAACGAGGGGATTTGGGTTTACCAGACTTGAAACTGTATTTTGATGTATGTTGCTTGTTTAAGAATGGATGAACCTTCAGAATAAGAGGCTACTTGATTTGGAAGATCACGAACTAAGGTTTGGATGGCACAGTTATTTATGGTACAATAAAGTCAAAGTTAACGTTGATTTTAATAATCACTTTATCAGACATGCCATACTAGGAGTACGGAACAAGTATAAAATAAGATTTTCCACAAAGCTGCCTCTTTGGGTATCCCCACAGGAAGCCCCCCCCTTTTTTTTTTTAGAAAAGAAATGTTGTGAAACCAGACTGGCAAATCTACGGTAAAATAATATTTTTCAACTCAGGTGACCCTATTCTTAAATCAAGGAAAGAATTAGAATCAGAGGGTTATGCCTGTCATTGGTTTACATATCAACAACTGAAAGAACAATTTAAACTAGATAAAAATGTTTTGGATTTGACTTCATTAAAAATGAATTTGAAACATTATTGTGTGGCAGTGACGAACATATTATTGCTAAGGCTTATAAAATGCTATTGAAATTGAATTTGGAAAGTGAACATGTAAAACATTGTATGATACAATGGGCAAGGAATTTTGGTTATAATGTGATGTTGGAACAATGGGACAATATGTGGATGAAAAGTTTAAAATTTACATTGAATTATAACTTAAAAGAAAACTTCTACAAGATGATGTATCGCTGGTATTTATCACCAGATAAGCTATCTAGGATGTATAAAGGTATTTCAGTTGATCCTATTCAAATGAATGTAAACGTAAAGAAGGGACTTTTTATCATTTACACTGGACATGTGATAAAGCAAAGAAATATTGGAGAAGGATTCACATTTTGATACAGAAAATCCTTAAAGTAAAAATAAACATGAAACCAAAGATTTTTCTTTTGGTTTAATGAAGAAAGATTTGGAAAAAAAATTCGTAACTTTGATCCTGTATATGTTGACAGCAGCAAGACTACTGTATGCACAAAAATGGAAGGACATTCCAATTCCCATTATGGATGAATGGCTACAGAAGTTGATGGAGCTAGCAGAGATGGCTAAATTGACTATTTTGATTAAAGAAAAGAATACAAGAATCTTCGTTTCTACATGAAGACCGCTTCTGGACTTTGTGCTTGAGGTGGAAAAAAATGAAACTTTGATTATGGGTTTCACTGATTAGATTGATTTGTTGTTACAGAAATGGCTAGTTTTTACTACTGTGAAAAAGTAAAAAGTTGAGACTCAACATTAATACTCTATTCTACTGCAACAGGGGAAGTCAGAAGTCAATTTTTTTCCTCCCTTTCCCTCCCTTTCTTCCCCCCTTTTCCTCCCCATTGTGTCCTATTTGCTTTGTAGCTTGTATTTTACTGTACAACTTAATCAAATGTTATTAAAAAATATTGGTAACCCATTAAAAAGGACTGATACTATAGATTCCATATTTTGAAGTCTCTGAATGCACTTAAGATTGGCTCCTTCAAAAACATTGCACTGTTCTTCCATGTTCATAACCTGTTGTTTAAAAACAAGCTTTACCTGCTCAAAATCCACTGTTAATATAGCTAGAAATTTGTACAAGTGTAGCTGCTGCTATCCATCTTGTCAATGTCAGTTTTTTAGTATGTCAAGTTTCTATTAAATTTAAGTAAAACTAAAGATGTTAGCATCATTCATATCTTAAACATGAATTATATACATTTCTAGGTGTTGGCACTTCAACTCTCACAATTCCACAGATAGGATGATCATTTTTGAGAATTTTGGGAGTTGGTCTGGGTCCACCTACCTGGAAGTTAAGACTTAGTGCACTAGAACAGGGCTTTTCAACCTTTTCAGATTGTACCACTTTTAGGACATGACAATATTCAAGTACTACCCGTGCTTAGCAAGGTGTCAAAAACTTGATGACTGAAAAAAAAGGGGTGGGATTTTGGGTTTTACTGATTAGATTCATTTGTTGTTATAGAAATGGCTAGTTTATACTATTATGGAAAAGTAAAAAGTTGAGGTTCAATGTTAATGCTTCATTCTACTGCAACAGAGGAAGTCAGAAGTCAATACATTTTCTTTTTCCCTTCTCCCGCTCACTTTTTTCCCTTCTTCCTCCCCAGTGTCCTATTATTTCCTTTTGTATTTTTGTATTTTATTCCATAATCTAATAAAATGTTACAAACCGTAAAAAAAAAGAAAAAGAAAAAAGTACCAGTTTTAATTTCTTTGGTGGCAGTTCCTTTGCTCTCAGGCCACGCGGAGGACTCCTGGTGGTGCAGGCTGCCCAGAGCCCTGGGCAGTGGAGGGCAAGCACCCAGCTCAGCCCAGCCTTCCCCAAGGGGGCGCCCAGCTGCACTTACCTTCTCCTCAAGGCTGCTGCTCCTTGGCTCGCTCTCCTTTGCCAGGTTGCTCATGGTGTGTGCAAAATGTGTGGGTCAGAGAGAGGCTCACTCCCTCTCTATGCAAGGAGACCCAGCTTTGGCAAAAGGGCAGCAGGGCTGGTCGTGGCCAAGTGCTAAGGCAGGACTTCCCTCAGACCCACCCTCCCTTCCTCTCATTATAATCTTCCTTCCTCCCTTTTATTCTTTTTCTTTCCTCTTCTCCTTTCCTTTTTTCTTCCTTCCCCTCTTTCCTTCTTTTTCTTTTTCTTTCTTCTTTTCTCTTTCTCCTTTCCTGTCCCTTCTTGGATGCTCAAATTCAAAGGGGAAACATTTCTCGATGCTTCCTTGTCTTGTGATCAAATGCCATTTTTGCTAGTTTGTGGCCACTTAAAAGATTGAGAACAAATCAGGCTCAGTTTATCCCATGCTTGCATTTAGTGTGGGCATCCACAGACAACAGTACAGTAAAACTATCAAAATAGTGGCTGTGATAGTTGATCAGAACTCCTCCATTTTTGATGTGCAACAGTTTTAGCATTTAAGATCAGAGGTAGCTTAGTTACTTTTCTATTAATACATAAGCCTTAAAAGGGCTCTCTTGTAGGGATCCTGTCTTGGTCTTATTCAGACTGGAAATATAGCAAAGGAAAATATTTTTTCCCACTCTGCTTTGTCCTTTTCCCCCCACTGGAAATGGTTGTTAGCAACACACAAGGAGGAGATACTTTCCTAAGCACTCACAATTCAAGAATATCAATGTTAACTTGGATTGACAACAAAGTTCTGTCTGTGACAAAACAGAACACAAAACTGCTTTCTCTTTTGAACTGGGGCATTTCCAACAAAGTTGCCTTTCCTTCTTTTCTCTTTCCCTCCCTCCCTCTCCCTCCCTCCCTTCCTTCCTGTCCTTTCCTTCCTTAATTCCCTTTTTTTTTAAGCTGCCAGAGGCTACAGGCAGAGGTGTCAACAGGCAGGCAGCAGTGGGCAGAGGCTTCCCATTTTGACCCCTCCCCATCATTGCTTCTGTGTGGCTCTCAGCTCAACTCTCTCAGACCCATGCATATGTGTGTGTGTGTGTGTGTGTGTGTGTGTGTGTGAGAGAGAGAGAGAGAGAGAGAGAGAGAGAGGGAGGGATGTCTCACCCCCTTGCAGCCCTACACCCTCCACAGAGACCTTCTGCTGTTTTTTTGGAGTACTTGTTTTTTTCTCAACAGTGCCGCCAATCGCATCACGCCCTGCCCCCCTTAGCTCCCACTCCCAGCCCCATGGAAGGCTGCAAGAAGTTCCCATCCAGCTTATCTCTCCCATTCTTTTCCTCCCCAATGTCACAGCGTGAGGCTACAAGGAGACCCCCCATGTGTGCACGCGCGCACACACACACACACACAGAGAAACACGTGGGCAGGTCTGGGAGAGGTGAGCTGAGAGTCCAGCAGAGGCCCTTCAGGCACAGAGGCAATAACAGGAGGGGAGGGGTCAAAATGGGAAGTCTCCTGCCTGGAGCATCTAGCAGCTTAAAAAAGTAAACCTGCGAAGCACTCAGAATGCGGTCCCCAGGGACATTAGGTCCCGTGTGGCCAGGGGGCAGGGCAGGGTTGAGGTAGGCTGTCACTGGTTCCAGGGCTGCCCCATGAAACTAAGGATAAGCACATTCTGGCTTTTATGGTAGCTACGAGGTGTAAATCAGCACCCCATCGATCTGGGCTTGCCTCGTTTCTCTTTGAGCAATCAGCAGGGACGGTCAGCAGGGGTGCCAGGGGGCAGGCGTGTGGCCAGGGAGTGGGGCAGGGGCAGCCCCTCACTGGCTGTTTCCCGCCAAAACCTCTTTTTATATCTTTTCATCTCTCCCCCCTTTTCTATGCACCTCCAGCTACGCACTCCTTTTGGAAGTGTCAATTAGTTGGAGCCCAGCGCTGAGCCCCAACATCCCTACAGAAATGCCGATCAGCTTGTAGCCACGCGTGCAGATCTGCTGAGCCGCGACAGCCCTTCAGCTCCAGCTGTCTCTCCCTCATGCTTCTATAGCGCTGCCATCGCTTAGCTCATTCCGCTCCCCCGCTACTTCTCCTCTAGGATGATCGCATACCACCACTAGGTGCCAAAGTATCACCAGTGGTATGCATACCACCGGCTGAAATGCCCTGCACTAGAATTTCCTCGTTTCAATATCACGCCACAGAATGCAACATTCTTTCAAGGTAACCTAAATAAAGAAAAATGTGGATTACTAAGACCACACCTGGAATATTGCATCCAGTTTTGGTCACCACATTACAAAAAAATTGTTAAGACAGAAAAAGTGCAGAGAAGAGCAATTAAGATTATTAAAGGCCTGGAGTCTAAAACATATGAAGAATTGGATATGGCTAGTCTAGAGAAAAGAAAGACTAGAGATGACATGATAGCAGTATTCCAGTATTTGTGGGGCTGCCACAAAGAAGAGGGGGTCAACTTATTTTCCAAAGCACCAGAAGGCAAAACAAGAAACAATGGATGAAAACTAATCAAGGAGCAAAGCAACCCAGAATTAAGAAGAAACTTCCTAACAGTGAAGACAATTAACCAGTGGAACAGCTTGCCTTCAGAAGTGGTGGGCGTTTCATCACTGGAAGCTTTCAAGAAGAGACTGGACAGCCACTTGTCTGAAATGGTATAGGCCAGGAGTTGGCAACCTTGGCTCAGGAATTCTGGGAATTGAAGTCTACAAGTCATAAAAGAGCCAAGGTTGCCTACCCCTGGATAGGCCATAGGGTCTTCTAGTTGAGCAGGGGGTTGGACTAAAACAGGGGTCCCCGACCCCGGTCCATGGACCAGTACTGGTCCATGGCATGCCAGCAACCGGTCCGCACAAACAAGCAAAGCCCCATCTGCAGGATGCAGGCAGCACACAAAACCACATACCCTCCGGTCCACGGAAAAACCTCTCTCCACAGAATTGGTCCCTGGTGCCCAAAAGGTTGGGGACATCTGGACTAAAACACCTCCAAAGTGCCTTCCAGCTCTGTTCTGATTGGGTCAAGGCTCAGTGGGACTTAAATCACAAACCCCATTTTAATTAACAAGTCTGTGCTTCAACTTGCTTTTTCTTTGTGGGCTGAGATCTTGCTGAAGAGATTTCATACTACATTGTGACGCTTAAACTCTAGATTCCATGACAAGCTGGCGGGCGCTACTAGGGACCCCCTCCTCTTGATAATCCAGGCTTTTACCGACCCACCTCCCGGGCTTAGGATCTGGATCCCATCTTCCCAATCGAAGACTTGGATATGCAGAATGGAGCAGGGTATGGCAGTACAAATATTTATTAAAACATACCACGCAATTACTTTTACACCAGAATGCCTTCTTCCCTTTCATACTCCATGTAGTAAGATCTGGCGCCGACCTTCTCTCGCGCCCAAAACCGCCGTGCCATCTATCAAAGAACCCGCCACGCAAGGCATTATGGGGGCGGATTGATACGGCCTGAGTCTTGGCTGGCTACTGGCGTCACGGGGCGGGACGTCAATTCCCTGAGGAGACACCAACGCAACCAATTAGCAGACAGCGAAATTGCGCAAGGAAAGGGCTGGACGTGCTTTGAAAGGATGCGGAAGTAGAGGGTGGGAACTTTCTTCTCTGCTTTTATTTACTTACTTATTTATTTATTTATTTTATAGGACAGCTACTGCTGAAGGAAAGGACGGGGATTGGCTTGCAGCCACGCCTGTCATGCTGTGGTTGTCGCCGAAGGTTTCCAGCGCTGGCTGTGTCAATTCTTACTTCAGTCTGGGTCACGCGCCCTTTGGTTTTGGTTTGTGTGTATCTTCCCTTTTTCTCGCTTGCCTCGCTGCGGCTCCTAATCTGGTGTGAGCAGTACCATGGCGGATGTGAGTAGTTACGTGCTCTTGAAGATAGGCAGTTTGGAAGACAGACCACAAGAGGTGGAAAAGAATAGTCTTAGTATTTTTCTCTCTAGGGAGAGGGGGATGTGATGAATTCATTTGGAGGACAGGTTGTGGAGACGGGTAAAACAGAAAGACAGGATATAAATGCAATAAAAATTAAATATAGTAGAGTATGTTTCCAGTGCCAGATGGCTGAGGTAAGAAGAGAGCATCCTCCTCTTTTTAGACTCTAGTAAGGCAGATCTTCAGAAAAGATAATTTAGTCCTGGTTTCTACAGAATGTGCTGAAGAACAGTTCTTCTTTCCACAACTTGTGACCGTACTGGTCAGAAATGATCCCAATTATATACTGATATATGTAGAGACTCTTACATATGGACAGTTGACTATCTGATCCTGTGAAACTGGTGCAGTGTCCCCCCCTCCTTCCTTTCCCAGATGAGTTTAAAAAGTTAAATATCTGTGCCCCAGGTATTCCATTTTCAGAAAGCCAACAAAAGAAACTTTGGTTTAAAACTGGCTTAAAACTGACTTAAGCAGAGATTCAAACTTACTTATAAGTGGAATGTATTTAGACCTCCTCTTCAGAACCCAGTTTTGCAAGTTAAGATTCCCATAATCAGGAATTTTTTTCAGCATATGTTATTTTGATCTGTGATATTCAGCAAATTTCTTCATGAATAAGTAGAAAGAAAAATATTTTTCTTCATTGAGTGTATCTCTAAGGGTTTATTATAGGAAAACATTTTCCTTTATAACTTGATACATGTAAACATATTTTTTTGCACACCCACTCTTTTGAAGGGCTGGACAAGGATGAATGATCTCAGAATGACTTGTAATAGTCCTGTCCTCTAGGACTTGTAATTCTGGTAGTAATGATAGTAGAATGACTCTCAAACGAAACAACCCATCCGATGGATGAAATGTTTATAACAGAACATGTTTCTGAGTTCTGCATGTGCTTAGAAGCACTACTTACCTAGCCTTACTACTCAAACTTGAAGTCCAGTAAAAAACCAAAGTACAGTAGATTGAAAAAGTGTGAAGTTTGCTCAGCCTAAAAATATAAATGTTTAATGTGTTGATGAGTTTTTGTGTTCTTTCTCAGCAGGACAACAGGGGCCCATTAATAAGTGAAATCAGACAGCGTTTTGAGACCGAATATTTATCAGGTTGGTAATATGAATATTCTGTTCATGTTATAGTTTATCCTGTGCATTTATAACATTATAGATCAGGGGTGTCAAACATGCCACATCACGTGATGTGTCGCGATGTATTGTGACTTTTTTCCCCTTGCCGGAATTAGGGCGGTCTCAGCTTCCGCATGATGCATCCAGCGCGTGGGCCGGGAGTTTGACATCCCTGTTATAGATTGTCTGCAGTAGGAAAGATTAAAAAAAATATTGATTATTTTCAGAAGTACATAGCTAAAGCAAAGGTGGAGTCTTCTTGAATTTCTTTGTATTCTGTGACTACTAAAGGCTGTGTGAATGACTACAGTTTTAAGTTTGAAAATCCTCATGGTTAAGTGGTAAACATTTAGTTTCACTTACCTTCTCATGCACTCCCAATGTAATGTGTTTGCTGCAACAATCTGCCCATTATATCATGGTGCTTCTTGAGTCAGCTTCATTTGCTTTCATACTTACGATACTGCTTATCTGTAATCTAAAGACCAGATGCAGAGTAAAGAAGCATTACTGACATTCCCATACTATACAATTATAATAAAAAAATATACACTGGTTGTGGTTACAAACAACATTACCCTGTTGTAAATTTAACCTTTTCATATTGAATTTATGCTCTTGCCTAGGTTTTCACAGCATATGGGTTCTTTGATAAAGAAAACAGTATCATATGGATAGCCAAATTTAGAAAGTGCTATGGTTAAATCAAAAACACGATTTTCCAGTTCAGTTGTGCAGCCTTCTCAACAGCAGAAAGCTAGTCTGCATTTTTTCTGCTAGCTCAAATATGATTTTGATAAAGTATTTGTAGGCATTTAGGTTTGAAATATTCAAGGAGTTGAAAAATGGTTAGAACTCATTTGCAATTCTGGTGGAGGGTTTTTTAATGTCCATAGGTCAAGAAAAAGTATAGATATTTTGTTTAATTATTTTATAAATTAAATATTAGCTTGCTACAAATGCATTTTTATGATCCAGTTTTTATAAGAAAGTATAATAACAATCTTCTATTCATATTGATCAGCAAAAAGAAATAAATATGATTCCAGGGATATAGAAAGATTGCATCAAGATGATACCTGGGTTGATAATTTCTTAATATGGCGGGATGATATTGTGGATGATACACTGAAGATGATTGATGAAAGCTTTCAGTGGAGAAAAGAGTATGCAGTTCATGGTAAGATATCTCTTTATTGGTTTGAAAAATGTTTTGATATGCATTTAATAAAAAATATAAACAGCTGAAAGTAACTGTTATCAGAGGAAATTGTATTCTAAACTGAAAAAAAATGAAACTAGGTATCAAGGCTAGGTATAACCATATGTACACCATGTTTCATAATCAGATGAATGGCATACAAATTTAATATGTTTATTAAATGTTTATATGGATAGTCTCAGGTTCAAAGTTACAGTGGTGCTGATCAAATGGTACTTATGACAGGTCTTTGTAATTCCAACCATCTCAGCATCCCAGCAATCATGTGATTGCGATGTCTTACATTCCCCACCAGCTTTCTACAGTGTAAACTCAGTGGGGAAACTGGCAAGAAGTTTGAATTCATAATCATGTGAGGTCTTTGCTGAACAATTCAGGGGTCCCCAACTCAAGGCCATGGCCTGGTACTGAGCTGCGCTATCGGCCGGTGAGCACATGCACAAACAATGGTCCATTTGTGTGAGCGGTGTACATGTGCACCTGCCGCTTGTGCAAATGGAGCTGTGTGTGCTCACCTGCCACTTGTGCGGAACCAATCCCTTCTCCTCTCCCACCGCTATTAGTCCACAAAGCCAGAAAGGTTATGGATTGCTGATCTAATTCACAGCAGTCTTTATGCAGTGTCAAGAATTAAACCATGAACTGTGCTTGGAGATTCTCAATGTGGTTGCCTAATTCCCTCATTGTCAGGGGTTTTGCAGCTATTACATGAGAATAAGAATAATTATATAATTAACTTTGAACTAATATTTTAAACTCCATTTTAGATTTAAAAATCTGTATCTAAATTTGGCATTACCCTTTAGGTAGTAACTATTATTTTGATCTAAAATATAGTGATTGGAAATAATAACTTTTCTTTGGATTAAAATATAGCAATTTCATCTACCCTTTTTATTTAAGATTTTAGAATGCTGTTACCATATGTGATATACTAAAATAATTATTTTAATGATAAAACAAGACTGATTTCTTCAGATTTGACTGAATCTTCTTTTCCAAAATTGATGCTTGATGTTGGTGCTATTTATCTACATGGTTACGATAAGGAGGGCTATAAAATATGTAAGTCAAATTTACAATTTTATTTACTCATTCATTAATTCAAATACAACCATACTGTCAGAACTTAAAGTAATACAGGGATTAGGATAAAGTCATTGAAATCAGTGGCATTGGTGGTGGTGGTGTATAACAAAATCTATTTATTTCTTTAGTTCTGATATACATTTAAAATTGCTTATGGCACCTACATTTGGAGGAGCAATGCAATCTTTATATATCTGTATTAAAAACAATTGCATTTTTATTTTAGTAACAGGTATAAATTAAAAATAGAGCTTTAATACTAGAGGTATTTAAAGGTGATATAAATAATAACATACTTTAGGTTTCATTTTAAATTTGAAAGTGCTAAATGTTTTTTTTCCTATTCTGTCTAGTTCAGGGTTGAACAATCTTTTTGTTCACTAAACCATATGGTTTCTTGGGTGTTGGCTTAAAAATAAGTCAAATTGTGGTTTATTCAATAAACCATAATGAAATAAACCATGGATAATCATGTATGAACATGTTCAGTAATTTTTTTAAGTTGAGAGCTGTAATGATTTGAGTGATAATTCAGAACGAATTGGGCTAGATTATGGATTGAATTATTGTTTATTTGGTATTCTTTTTGGAAGGATTGTGATTGTATTTGCAATTCAAGTAGCTAAATTGTATACAAAATAGTTTTTTGTATAAGAAATCTATCATAAGAAATAATAAAAAATGTGCCACTGACTGTTACCAACATATAAAAGTGGATTCAGAGGTCTTTAGATTTTCCATGCGTAATACTCCTTTTGAGGCTTGTATACAAAGATCCTTGTCCTGATTAAATTTCTTTCTGTTTTTAGTCTTCCCACTGAAGTTTGCATCATAACTATACAGTACTTCAGACCTGGCTGGTACAATCCAATTCAGTGAAAATAAATAATTATTCTCATTAAATTTGATAGGCAGTAGGGTCATATTGTCAGTGCAGTCTTAGCAGTTTTATTTGATGAATACAAAAAGGGTAGATTGCCTTCTGGAAAACTCAATTAATTTGAGCTTCTGAACATTTGTGGAGCCCAGCATGGCTGACTCTGAAATCTATCCTTCTATAAGATGCTAGAGGAGCATAATTTTAGGCATTTTAGATTTTCTAGACATTGCAAGGTGTAGTAGGTGAATATTTTTAATTTAGAATGAATAGCCTT